GGAATGTGAGATGAACCCCACCTACACGTAGACTCAGGCATGCTCCTGGGTCTCTTGGGTCTCACTTTGTTGATAACATCTATCGAAATCCTCAGTAGGACTTTACAAAAACAAATGGAGTTTAAAAGCATTTTGTCAAACTTAGATTAGAGCCAGGTTGGACTTGGGGAGAAAGTGGAAGAGTGTTAGTGCAAGTTTAAAAAAAACCAAACAAACCCCAAATAGAAATTTATCCTGCAAGAAAACAAAGGTGGGCTAAACCTTCCTAGCTGGCTTATGAATTATCATGTAGACGTCACTATCATTCAAATATCTTTTATATTTATTTTAAATTCTGGAATAATTCAAAATGCAAAAAGTTCAAGCGTAATAGACAATGTGTGCCCACCCCCCATACATGTGTCATATCTCTTAAAAAATTTAAAATAAAAAGTGCCGTATTTTTTCACATGCACTCCTGAGGTTGGGATGCAGCTTTAAAGATGTGATACCAAGACATTGTGTGCTAGTTTAATTGTAATGTTATTTTCTGGGTGGTACTGAAAATAAAGGTATGGTTCAATCACATGGTATCTGAGATTAAGTGACACTGTGTAATGTCAACACAGACTGAGTTCCACTTCAGCCTGTTCCTTTTCACAAAAGATGGCAATCACTACCCGAAGTTACCCTTTTTTTTTAAAATGTACTGTTCTTTATTATCCGTTAATAGATTTTTTTAGCATCTTTACTGGAGTGTAATTGCTTTACAGTGGTGTGTTAGTTTCTGCTGTATAACAAAGTGAATCACCTATACGTATACATCACCGCAGTTATCCTTTTATCCAATCTTCTGTCTCTTCATTCTGTATACATCACAAATATATGCAATAAAAACTGCATATGCCGTTATTTTCTGTTTTAATTTACTCAGAGAATATACTGACTATATTCTTTTACAACAGAAATCGTCATTAATCATTATGCTTTCAAAAATTTTCCATGGGGCTTACCTGGTGGCACAGTGGTTGGGAGTCCACCTGCCGATGCAGGGGACACGGGTTCGTGCCCCGGTCCGGGAAGGTCCCACATGCTGTGGAGCGGCTGGGCCCGTGAGCCATGGCCGCTGAGCCTGCGTGTCCGGAGCCTGTGCTCCGCAACGGGAAGGCCAAAGCAGTGAGAGGCCCGCGTACCGCAAAAAAAAAAAAAGAAAAAAATTTTCCATGATGAAAGGTTGGGGTCTAGTTAATTCATTCTAAATACCCTATAGTGTTTTATTGTTTTAATACACAATTATTTATATTTATTCATTAATCCCTATCATAGAATTACTTTCTCTTTTTCTGCTCTTACAGAGAGTACTGAGGATTGTTTGGTGTGTAGTTCCTGGTTCATGTTTGAGAATTTCTACAGAGAGATCGCTAGTCAAACCTACCTCCTTAAGTTTAGAAGTTACTGCCAAATTACACGTAGAATTTCTTAGAACAACACTCAGTATTATACACGTGTTTTTCAGCCCTAGAGAAAACTTCATTTCGAAGTCAAGCTCCACCACTAACTTGCCATGTGACCTTGGACCTGTCACTAATTTTTCTTTGCATCAGTTTTCTCATCTGTAAAACAGGACGATCATCCTCATATCCAAGTCTCAGGTTTCTAGGAGAATTGGATGAGTGAGTGTAAACTGCTGAGAAAGGCAGCAAGCACAGAGCAAGTGAGGCCATCGCCATCATTATTAAGCTATTATTGATAAAGTTACCAATAGTTCCTGCATACTATATCACCTTATTGTTTGAAATAGCATTTCCTTGGTTACGAAGAGAGTTGTTTCATCTTTTCTCACATGTATTGGCCTTTCCTTTCCGCTTACATCCTTTGCCCAGTTTTCTATTTTGTTTCCAATTTTTCTTACTGATTTGTGAGAGTCATTTATAAAATGCTGGTGATTTATTGATCGTATGCCCAGCTTACTTTCCTCTCTGTCTTCGCCTGAAGTTTTTTTTATTATTATATGTATGCTGTTTGTGATTGAACAGGAGTTGTTAGCTATGATGTTGTAGGATTTTTCCCAATAAAATTTGTGTTTTGACCCCTATTCCCTTACTCCCAAATCATGAGTACTGTTTCTACATACTTTTCTAAATGTGTTAAGCTTTGCTGTTCATATTTGGAACTTAAATTCAGTTGGAATTTATTTTTACAGATGGCATGAGATAGTGATGTTCGTTTCCTTTACAAATAATCAATTTTCTTGACAGCTTCCTTTAAGGATAAGTGACCCAGCCCCTGTGGCCCCCAAATCTCACCGTGTAGGCCTGAGTGGAGTTCTGTAGTCTGTTCCAGCGGTTCCTTTTTCTCTCTCTCTGCACCAGAACCGCAATGTTTAATGACTTACGCTTTTGATGATTTTATTGGGATATAATGCATACAGGAAGGTGCTCATCTCTGAGTGTACTTTTCCACAAGCACTAGAGGTAGAACATTCCCAGCCTCCAGAGCCCACACTTGCTCTTTCCAGTCACTAACCCTTTGCCCAAAGTACCGCCACGCTGACTTCTAATAGCATACATAGATTCGTTTCACCTGCTTTTTTTTTTTTTTTGCTCTCTGTAAATGGGATCTCATAGTATGTTCTCATATGTATCTGATAGATTCCATTCAACATTATATTTCTGAGAGTCACCCAATTTTTTCTTGTAGCTATAGATCATTGATCCTACTTTAAAAAATTATTTCCCCTATAATTTGAAATAATTTTACACTTATGGAAAAATTGCAAATAATTAGTACAAACAACTTTTTTCCTTCAACCATTTTAAAGTAATTTGCTGGCATGTTGTCCCATCAACCTTGAGTACATGTACTGTGTATTTACTACAAACAAAGGCATTTTCCTATGTAACCTCCATACAGTCATCAAAATCGGGACATTAGAGCTGTTACCATTTAATCAGGAGGCTTCATTCAAGTCTTTTCCATTGTCTCAGTGATGCCCAACCAACCAAAGATCCAGTCCAGCATCACAGGGTGCGCTGACCACTGGGCATTTAATTTCCTTCCGTTTGGAACAGTCCTTCAATCTATCTTGAACTTTCCAACCTTGACATCTTTGAAGATACAAGCCAGTTATTTTGCAGAATAAAAATTAAGTTTGTCTGATATTTCTTCATGACTCACAAGTCCTCCTATCATTTTAGTTTTGATTCGAATATAACGCAATTCACTCGAAACTCGAAAGGACTAAAAATACTAGCACTGAATCACCGTGGCGATCATTAAAAATCACCATTGCCCTGAAATCAAGTTCATTTTGTCTTTTTTCCAAGAAATTTGTAAATTCGTATGTTTCAGATGCAACTGCTTTCTTTTCAAATTAAATATCCTTGCCATCTTATGTTACTGAAATTAAATGTTGCTGAGAGAAATTGCATTTGGTATAAATTGCCACCATTTCAGCTTACTTCATGGATAGCTACTGAACTGGATTTTGGGGAGTTGCTCTTTTTGAAGACAGCCAAGTGATTTAAAGCCTGCAAGCCAAATAATGAAGGCTCAGATGGATGTCTCTGTTTTGTCATTACGGATGCTTAAAATGTGCTGAGAAGGACAGCATTGTGCAGATCTTTTGTTTACAAGTGAGACTCAGAATTAGAGATGTGTATGCTTCTGTGTATGGGAAATATGTCAGTAGCATCCTGAGGCAGAGGATCCTGAACCCTTTTCATGGAGATTCCTGCCTGTGTGCTGCCCTGTTTTCCAGGTCTCCCAGCTGTACCTGGGCAGTGCGGGGCAGCCCTGCCCCTCTCTGCCACCTCACATTTTCTCCTGTGCGGAGAGAGCCTTCCACCAGCTTTTCCAGGAGCAGAGACCTCAGTGCTTCATTCTCAGGTGAGCCTGTCCCTCACCCCAGCTCCAGGCTCAGTTCTGCCCTGAGGGCTTGGCGGTAAAACCATCCTCATTTCTTCCGGTTTACGTTTATTTACTCCCTCACCAGTTTGTGGTCCACTAAGTGTGCAGTGAGTACACTTGACTCGTTACAAAGGAGAAACACCTTAGTTGTTAGAAATGGCGCTGAGCGTAGCTGAATCGATATCAACAAACTGAACCTGGAACTCATTTCAACCATTCAACATTATGTTTGTGAGAGTCATCCAGTGTTTTCTTCATTTTGAAGATTTACAGCTTAGAACTAGTGTCTTGCTTTCAAACCTTAGAAAACATGGGAAAGAGAGGCACCCGATACTAGTACCACCCTTCTCCAAAATGTGGTGCTGAGCAAAATACCATGCACGACCTTGCAGATGTGGGATTTCCCACCCGCTTCTAGGTATTTATACCTTTGTTCATATGTCAACAAAATTATACACTCAAAGTAATTTTTTAGTGAAATGCAATGGTAATATTAGCTCATAAATACCAAGATGCTCAGGAGGGAGCATTTAGATCGGAGCAAAAATTCTTCACGTCAAAAAGAAGTGTACCACGAGAAGTAGGGATGAAATGTGATTATATATTGATAGAGGAATAAAGAAATATTTAGGTATTAAAATAAGATCTGCGTTGAGAACTGTGTTTTATATCAGACCACACTGCCACAAGAGGGAGACTTTCATAAATACCCCTGGCTTTGCGTAGTTTTCAACAGTAGTGTTGGTTGAAAACTGAATGTGTGAATAAAGCTTTGCACAACCTGAGTCAAAGTGAGATAAAAGAGTAACTATGGAAACCTGGAAAGAACCCAGATAATATTTAAATATTTAAATAAGCACTTCTTTATATACTTTTATGTTGTTAATTTAATGAAAAATTCCATGGAGGGTCACATCGATGGGTTGCGAACTGTAGTGTTCTGGTTTTCAAAATAGTGTGCAAATGGTTGTTTTTACACCTGTTCTGAAGTGTCCCCTGGGGTGGGGTGGGGGACCCAGGCATTCTTGAATCAAGCAACTCTGCTTTCATCTGCTTTATCTGTTGGGTTTCCTGGTCTCACTTAGACAAAAAGAGAAACTTTTTAAAAATCATGAGATGGGGCTTCCCTGGTGGTGCAGTGGTTGAGAGTCCACCTGCCGATGCAGGGCACGCGGGTTTGTGCCCCAGTCCGGGAGGATCCCACATGCCGCGGAGCGGCTGGGCCCGTGAGCCATGGCCGCTGAGCCTGCGCGTCCAGAGCCTGTGCTCCGCAATGGGAGAGGCCACAGCAGTGAGAGGCCCGCGTAACCGCAAAAAAAAATAAATAAATAAATAAAAAAATCATGAGATGGTGGGGAGTGTGTAATAGTGTTGACAATAATAACAACTCATATTTATTGAGAACCTGCTAAGTGCCAGACCCTCCTCTAGGTAGTTTCCATGTATCATCTTATTCATTGCTTTAGTAACCTTGTAGGATAGGTATCATCGTTATTATTATTATTGTCATTTTGTGTGTCAGGTGCTGAGTATTAGAAGGGTTAGCTAATTAGTCCAGGGTCTCCCAACTAGTAAATAGTTAGTGTAGCTGGGATGTGAGCCCAATAGTCTGGCTTCTGAGCCCGAGTGAAGGTTATCCACACTCACAGCCAGACTCTAGGGCATGGCTCGCCCAGCGCCGCTAACCTAAGGAGGCTTGCAGAGGTCCCTCCAAACTCACCTAAAATGATGGTTACAAATCCACGGACTTTACTAAATTCTCATTGAATCCACTTAATCCTTGTCAAAGACTTTGGACCTTAGCGAAGCTATGAGGGGCCAGTGAATCCATATCCTTTGGGAACCTACTGATTACAGAGTTCACAATGCCTAGCATGTTCTTTCAGTGAGGAAACCTGTTTGTCTTTGTTTCTACATGTACTTGCTCATGGAATTGTTTTTCTAACAATAGTAAGGTTTGTTAACATTCTGCAGAACTAATATTCCTTTGGGACATTTTTAAAGGCTAATAATGCCATGTTATCAACCACTTATTCTGTAAAAAAGATTTCTTCATTCATGTTTCGAGAAATGAAGAGCAGGGCTTCCCTGGTGGTGCAGTAGTTGAGAGTCCGCCTGCCAATGCAGGGGACGCGGGTTCGTGCCCCGGTCCGGGAAGATCCCACGTGCCGCAGAGCGGCTGGGCCCGTGAGCCATGGCCGCTGAGCCTGTGCGTCCGGAGCCTGTGCTCTGCAACGGGAGAGGCAACGACAGTGAGAGGCCCGCGTGCCGCAAAAAAAAAAACCAACTGTTGCCAGGTCATTTCCTCACCCTCTTTGTGCCTGAGAATGATCTCTGGTTATTTAATTTTTTTACTATGTTCTCCAAAACCGTAAACTTGTTTTTTTTTTTTTTTTTTTTTTTTTTTTTTTTTTGGGGGGAAAAGAGGATCTGGGAAGGCTGAAACCAGCAAACAAATAATGAGACACCTCGCCTGTAGGTCTGGTTCCAGCAGGCCTATATTCGATTCCAAATTTAAACATGTAAGTCTCTTGCTTGGGTTAGAAACTATGGAGAAGCAAGAAAAAAGCATTTTACAAATAAAGGGGGCATCTTAATAGGCCATCAGTTTAACCATAAGTTGACCAAAATTTGTGGAAAGAAAGAAAAAAAGACCGGTGCAAATGAATATTGTTCACGTCAAGGTTTATTTTCTTGTATATATTTTAAAATATTGTGAACGTCATACTCTTTTTGTATTTGCTCTGAACAGTTGGATTGAAAATACGTAATACAGTTAGAGTCTGTCGTTGTTTACATAGAAAGTGACACTTTGGTGGGATTGGCCAGATAAGCAACTTCTGTGGGGGGATTACTGAGAGGTGATAATAAAGTTTCAATGTATGTAAAAGAACTGGTAACAGTCAACTTTGATGACATTAATAGGCTGGTGATAAACCTTCAACCCCAAAAGTGATATTTTGACATATAACATTGTATTAGTTTTCGGTATACAACATAATGATTTGATATTTGCATATATTGCAGAATGATCACCCCACAATAAGTTTAGTTAACGTCCATCACCATACATAGTTACAAATTTTTTTTCTTGTGATGATAGCTTTTAAGATCTAGTCTCTTAACAACTTTCAAATATACAGTACACTATTATTAACTGTAGTCACCATGCAGTGCATTACATCTCCAGGACTTATTTGTCTTATAACTGGAAGCTTGTACCTTTTGACTCCCTTCACCCAAATTAAGACTGATTTTAAATTATATGCAGTAACATTTGCTTTTATATGAAGACACCTTATCCTGCCACTTCATAGACCGAAAATACTGTCAGGATTGAATGAGGAACCACAAAGCCCTATTAGCAGCTAAGGGAAAGGTCAAATTTCACACGATAAAACTCAGACATTTGACTCAAGGAGACACCTGCAAGTAGACGGATGTTTTCACACTGTTCTAGCAAGTGTTGTTAACAGGTGTTTTCCAGCCCACAGCGGATTAGAAGGAGAAACTCTCTTTTCATTTCTTCTCTTTACAAAGAATGTATGATAAATCAACTCTACAATGCATCTATGGTGTTGTGTGTGTTCATTAATGACTTTAATTCATAACCATTTATTAAACTCGAGCTATATATTGGGCATGTGCAGAATTCTACAGCACAGCTCAAAGTATTTTAACATTTTGGGTCAACTTGGGAAAGGTAGTGTAAACTCTTTGTTCAGATATTGTAATATGCTTACTAATGACACTAAAGGATTAGAGAATCTATAAAGCAATGCGGTTATAAAGTAGACCCAGGTTACCTAAAAAAATAACAGGATCTACTGGTTTAATTGTAATGACAAGAAACTGTAGTCTCTATGTAAATTATAGACTAAAGCACTCATTTATTAAAACAATGCTTTGAGAAAGAGCAGAGTGTGACTTCTAAAATGCATTCTAGATTACTTTATGTAAATTGGCTTTATGTAAATTGGGTTACTTTATGTAAATTGGCTTTATGTAGTGAATACATTCTAAGCTGCATTTTTTTGGATAAGGTAGATATAACTCTTCCAAATCAATTAGCATATGGGAATCCATATTATAATGTCAATGCAAATTTCAAGTGAAACTATTTCTAATTCATTTGTTCATTTTACCCCTTTCTCATGGCAAATTAAGGGTGTCATAAATAAGTGATTTCCACTCTTAGGTTTGAGTATGGCTTAAACTTCATGTCCATCATGCTTTTTTTGGTCTCCCTTTAAATGATCATCCACATGCATTTATTCAGTGTACAAGACATTCTTGAAAATTACCCAGCCACAGTTTTTGCCCAGCATCCAAGTGTGTGTGCTGTGCGGTAATAAAATACACGCATTGGAAAAAGTTATGAACTGACTGTAAATCATTATAACATCACAGGTGTTCACTGAAATTATGTCTGTTTAGGAGATGGGCCAGTACTTTCTGCATGAAAGAAAAATTGTATTTAGGAGGTGAGTAGAAAAGAATATCCTTGATACACAGAGCAACGTAGTAGAAGGCTTTATGTTCAGGGTAAGATGAGAGGAAGGTTCGTTAGGTGGCCCTGAAAAGAGAGGAGCGAGTGAGCAGAGTTAGATGGTGGAACAACCCCTTGGAGGTGCCAGAGGGCAGACACGTGCAAGATGCTGCCCCGAGGGGCCACGTGCACGGCAAACAGACACATGGTATCTTCCACTGGGAGATACTGGTTGAGTCTGGACCAAATCATTTTGCCCTACATCTTAGCATAATGTGAGAGAAGAACAGTCATTGAAGGTCATGCTGATGAGCAGTTTCCAAAGAATAAACAGTAGAACGGTAGCAACGTAACAGGAAGGACATATCGGGATGGTCTTCAGCACAGAATCGTGGAGAAACTGAGGCGTAGAGAACATTTTCCTTGTGGTTTACATCGATGGCAGAATTAAAGATTTATAAATTAAAGGTTGTTATCCGGAGTCGGGGGTGGGGTGGGGGTGGGAAACACAAAGGGAAGGGGTTTGGGAGGAAGCTGGCCATTTCTAAGTTCCATGCTATCACGGTGAGCAGTGTTCTCCACAGAGGGTGCAGAGAGGGAGAGAAAGAGATTTAACTGGTATCTGAAGGTGAGCTCCAGAGATGATTTTTGGTAGTTTTATGCAGGTAATGCACATATTTTTAAAGGACACACAGCTGTAACTTTTCTGGATTTTGATCTTATACTTCGGTTGTCCGTCTTGAAAGTCTACCTAGGTTGACATTCTGCCTTTGCGATGGGCTTCAGAGTGAACTTGACTCCATGGGCAGATGGGTTGGAATCCTGTCACTGTAGACACTGCTTTTGTTTCCCTGGACCATTTCAAAACAGCTGAGATCAGTTAAGGGGGTGGTTGTTTCTAGTCGCTGTATTTGAATTTCAAACTGTGGAAGCAGGGACTTTCCATGGCAGTAGGTTTATTGGAACATAAAAGCCATGTTTTGGGAAAAAACACAGTTGCCTGGGACTTTTCACTAATTCTGGCCCAAATGAGTTTCAACTTTAAGACATTCAGTTGCATTTAAATTACTTAAATAAATATTTATTGAGCAACTGCTTTCACAGAGAGTGATGGGGTCACCTTGATTAAGCCCTTATTTTTTATTGAGGAGGCTACAAGTTTTTACTCTGAGAAAATCCAGCTGACTACCTACTACCAGGATAAGAGCACGTAACTTTTAGTGGCAGAACTATGAAAATTTTATAGAAAAAAATTCCAATGTAAAATAGGAACAAATCATGCCAATAAAATTTGAAACAGTACATACTGAGGAAATGTATACTTACTTCCCTTTGCCTATATTTTTATTTAAAGTTTTATTATGGCACAATATTCTCATTATTTTGTTTTAAAGTTGAGCAGCAGAACAGTATTGGTTTTGCATTTTTTCTGTATTTCTCTTAACACATTTGTTTAGCGCCACCTATTGGGCAAATGGATGATTAAAGATTAAAAAAAAACCAAAAAAACAAAGAACACCTCATTTCAGTTTAATCTTGAATCGTGGACCAGCAGTGCACAATGAAAGAATGCCATGTATTTATATTTGTTCAGTAGTTTTAGGTTTATGCTAATTTTCTGCCTTATATGTCTTTATCGTTATTCAGATACGGTGATTAAACACACCGATTCTGCAAAAGATTGCTCGGGTTTCAATCCCAGCTCCACTATTTATAAGCTCTGAACCTTGGGACATTTACTTAATCCATCAATTTCCTTTTCTATAAAATGGAGACAGTAGTTGTGAGAATTAAAAGAAGTTATTTATACATATACACGCATATACGTTCATACATGTATATGAATGTGTGTGTACGGTTATATTTAATTTATATATAACTTTATATATATATAGTTCCTGGCACATAGTAAATAAAGTATAATAAATGTTTTCTACTATTATTAACGAAAGCAAAACTAATCTTTGCTATTTGTTGAATGCTTACCATGTGCCAGGCACCAAGCTGAGCGCTTCATACACCGGACTCTGATAACCACTGAAGGGGTTATTCTGCTTAGAGTAAAGGAAAGGAGGTTTGGGAATTTATGAAACTTGTCACGGTGGTAGAACTTGTCATTAGCAGAGCTGGAAAGGGGGGGCAGAGCACATGCATCGCGCCGTTCATTACCCTGGACTTCCTGTCTGGGCGTGGGTCATTATCTTTTATATTCATTTTCTATTATAATAAGAAATTAGTGTGTTATCAGATACAATGCCAACCAACTAGAAGCCAGAATATTTTAAAATGTTATTTTATTCATGAATTTTTAAACAATTGTTTATTGTAATATTTAAAATGTGATATAATTACACTATTAATTTTGCTGTATATTTATTTCATATTGTTGGAAAAGAAGCAAAACATAGGACCTTCATAAATACTGTTTCAAATTATTTTTCAGAAACATTTCTGCCATTACTACTATCAGTGCACTATTATGATCTTTAAAATTAGGTTATTGTAAAGAGACCTAAATCATAGGGTTTCTGTAAAGATTCAGTGTTTCTCTCCAAAAGTTCAAACTTCAAAAACAGACGTTTTAATATATTTCGCTGTTTCCACAATGTTTAGCACGGTGACTTGTGATTAGAATCCAAGTGTTGTTTTATAATCTTTCAAAATATAAAATACTCCCAGGTGAATTGAATGCCTTAGTAGAGCAGTATCCAGAAAGTTAAAAAATAGCAGCAAACTTTTTTTTTTCTAATTTAGAATAAAAGTCTCAAAAAACACTATCATCAGAAATTATAAGCCACCACCAGGTGTATCAATAAGGTATCATAGTGCCCATCTTGTGGTTGATGCAGGAACTACATTTAAGATGTCAGTATCTTGAAAGATACAGAAAAGTACCTTTGAACCTTCCAGATTTTCATACATTTTGGAGAATTGCTTGGCCATCATCATTATCACAGGCACGATCGGTTGTGAGAAAAAAATGACCTTCATCCTATAGTCAATCTTTAAGGAAATATGTGAAGAATTTCAGATGCCAGGGTTGATCTGTGGAGCTGTATTAACAGCATTTTAAAGCTGCAAACACCCATCTCTACAAGAGCACCTCGTGATAAGATACACTGGATCCAACGGCTTCATCTAGAATTCTTATTATGGAGCAAAAACAGGGTATGGGAGGGTTATCTAGGGACTCGAGGTGCAAAAGAGTATGTGGCAAAGTAAATATGGGTTCAGAAGAAGGTTGTAAACAAATGTTTAAGTGAATTCGTTATTTTCAAAGGAAATTCTGACGATTGCTTATATTAACCCTAATTCCTCCCTCCAAAGCCACGGAAGCACTTCTACTGTTCTATTCAAGTTAAAAAGCCCAAATAGCATGTGCTGAGTTGTGTGTGTGTGTGTGTGTGTGTGTGTGTGTGTGTGTGTGTGTGTGTGTTACACTGAGAGGCTAGTGAAAAAAAGGGAGTCGTGCTCTGTGCAAAATTATCCTGTTACTGTTAGCTACCCTTTGAGAGGGAGAACGCTAGCAGTTTGCATTTGAGAAAAGAATGACCTTAAAATTGCAATATTGTGTTGTATGAACAATGGAGAACCTCTTAGCTGAGGGAACATTCCTGTCTCTCTGCTATTATTACGCAATTTTGTTTAAACAGATGCGTAACTCAATAAATGTTTCCCTTTTGCTACAGGTCATGAGCATCTTAGAAGCCTTTGGACATGCCAAGACCACTCTTAATGACCTGTCCAGCTGCTTCATAAAGTATTTTGAACTACAGTTCTGTGAGAGGAAAAAACACTTAACTGGAGGTAAGTGTAAAATTAACAAAGGAGATCTCTGGAGCTACCAGAAGGGGGCAGAGAAACACCAAGCACCCAGTGACTGGCAACAGTGACTGGTGTGTGTGCGTGTGCGTGTGTGTGCGCTCGCACCCACATGTGGGTGTATCAGTGTGCACACCCAAGGTGTCAAGTTATGAGTTCTAAAATTATTGTGAATTGAAGAATATTCTGAAATGCAAGGTGAACCTTTCAAGGCAATTTTTGTGTAAACTATATAATATGAAACCAAACCAAAAATAGCTGAAATGAATCACACTTGCTGAACACAGAAACAAACTTAAATATCAAAATAATGTGTAACTTGAGTACATAATTCCTTCTTGCAAGATACGTTGAAATCTATTTTAAATAAAACTGTATTTTAAAGTGATTGAATTAAAACAAATCAAAAAATCAAAATGATCACCCAACTAAACCCAAACAGAACTATTTCTTATTTGATTTAAATATTTAATGTGTACTTCATGAAAACCCCTTATTTGAAATTCAACTAGTTTAGAATTCACTTGGGATTTTACATCTTTCAAATCAAAACAGATTATCCCTGCAAATTAATAACATGAATATAACTGGAGTTAGAATGCCTGAATCTACTTGGAGGAATAGAGTATTTTCAAAAGTTTTTTTAACAGCTGTTAGCACGCAAACAATTGTAATTATCTCTGAAAGAGATCAGTTTTATTTGGTGTTTCAAGTTGCACTATCTTCCCTTCAGGAAACAAAAGTCACTTTTGACCATAGTTTCGAAACAAATAACCTGTATTTTGCAGTAAGGTATGTCCAAATCCCATTAGTACTAAATGAAATTTGGTAAAAAAATATGCATAAAAAGGGTCAGAAAAGATAATTTTAGATGTTGATGTTAGAGGCTTAAATTCTGCAATAGGAAGGCTGTTTTGTTTTGTTTCTCACTCCATGGCTAAGAGCTCTGTTTGAAGATCTACCATTTTAGGAAAACCTCAGAGGAGAAATGTCTTGAGCCTCAAACTCTGGTTTTCACATCTTTGTTTGTAACACCCCAGTGAGACTATCCCTCCAAGTGGAGGGCACAGCCTGGCCACCTCATTTGTGAGCATAATTTCCCCTGAGCTTTCCAGCACCAAGGGTTGGAGCCATAGCAACTGGGAGATTCAGGGGTTCCGAAGGTTGCACGTCCGAGCCCCTTGCTACTCCAGGGGGACCCGAAGATAAATAAGGACACTGTGTAATCTGGGAGCTTGTTAGAAATGCAACCTCCTATGCCCCACTGCAGACCTCAGGATTGGGACTCGAACAATTCCTGGGAATTCCCTGGTGATTCAGACAAACGCTGAAGTTTGAGAGGGACGGTTCTAGCCCAACCCAAGTAAAGCCGGATGCTAGGGCTTATGCACAATTGGCTCCGAGGAGATGCAGCATGTTCTTTTTTGGAAAAAAATGGAAGAATTTTATTTATTTATTATGTTGGGGTTGTAAAGTTTATACTTATTTTTTTTAACTTTTTATTTTATATTGGTGTGCAGTTGATTTAACAACTCTGTAACAACCAAATAGAGAAAAGAATTTGAAAAAGAATAGATACATGTATATGTATAACTGAATCACTTTGTTGTACACCTGAAACTGATACAGCTTGTTCTTGATTCAATATTCCCTTTACCAAGATGAAGATAAGTGGCTTCTGACGGTCTTATCCATTCCTAATTTTGTTTACTTTCTTTTCTGGATAGAATTTAACATGTCCTCCTCAGGAACGTTAATTTAGAAAATAATTGTATGCTGCACAAAAACAGAAGGTGAAGGCTTACTTGTGGAGCCTTCTGTTAATCATCAGGCAGCCCCACGGAGCTCCAGCATAATCAGACCCACAAACACCTCTCACACAGCCTCTGCAGGCTGCACACTGTGACAGGGTGACAATAAATATTCATACAGATGAATCTGAGGCACTTCCAGGTCCTGAAACACCCTCTGAATTGTTAAAGAGCTGTGAGCATCAACGTACTGCCCGCCTGGCACATGACTTCATTTTCAGACAAGGTCACATGCACAGGTATGGGGGCTTGGGGCTTAGCCATATCTTTTTATGGGACACAATTCACCCCACGACAGAGAATAAGGAGAGATCTATTGTGTCTGTCTTTACCTTTCAAAATTATTCTCAGTCTAAGAAAACTTATCATCATCACCTCCAGAAACAGGCACTGTTAAAACACTTTAAGAAGCTGTACGTCAATGGGATGTTTTTGAATAACTCCATCACTAAGAATCCTTTTCTGAAAGAAAAATTTTAAAAAGTATCAATTTAAATTACTTTACATGTTTTTTAAAGACAGCTGAGTCCTTCAAATTAGTCCTGTGTAAAAGCCTTCTGAATTTTAAGTGTTCACTAAAATAGTAAACCAAACTGGACTAAGGTTTTTACACCTCAAATTAGGTAAAATATATGTAGGTTACAGGTTGATTTCATGCTTCATGGTAGTCTAGATTTTCTTAAATTATCAACACATAAAATAGTTGTAATGAGTTTATTGTACAGGGAATATTATCTTACTACTTTTAAGGTTGATAGATGCTGTATATTTCCTTTATCGACATTATTGCTTATACTTTTATAATTTAATGCCAACTCCTTGATCAGGGATGCAACCACCAATTGTAACAAAGAAAATACAAGTCTTAGTCTTATGAAACATCAGCTACAGAAAGTCAGGATTGTTTCTTATTTTGAAGAAAGTTTAATTAATAAAGAACATTCTAACCTGGGCTTTCAGTCCAGGGTTTTTTCCCATCTGATTACTTATTTAACAGTGTAATCTTTCTAAGTTCCCCAAGCCCCTGTTTCTAATATGCTCCCTTGATTCCAACTCTGTTGACTGTAGACCAAGTCTCCCCCCTTATTTCTTCCCCCGCACTTGTCAAAATCTGAGAGCGTCCTTTCCCATTTGTCTGGTTGTTGTCTGTGGCTCCTCTTAGGATACAGGTTTGCTGATGGCAGAGCGCTTGTCTGTCCGGGCGCACAGTAGGCCTGCGTTCAGTATCTGTTGGATTACAGACTGAGGAGTGGCACTGGGGAGCGATCACAGCGAAGCAGCCACCATTCAGTTCAGGGAGGGGACTGTGTAAACGCCTCGGGAACTCATTCATGCCAGCAAAGAACACCTACTGTTGAGAGTGTACAGTAGTCAAGGAAAGTTATCAACGTTTAACTCTGGATTATTTTTTTGTAAATTAGAGCCGATTCTCTTCATAATGAGAGTTTGTGTGTGCTAAGGGTAGAACCATTATCTGCTTCCTGAGTGTGGAGACTGGCAAAACAGAAACGTGCTGAAGGGTCTACAAAGGTAGGAGGACCCAGAACCCACGTGTGGGAAGGGAAGAATAATTGACTCCTTGTCTTTTCTGTGCCTTGAAGACACCCAGGCTTAGGAAGTGGAAATTGAAATTTACTAACAGTCAGAGATGTTTCCCAATAAATATGCCAAGGCTGTGCTATCTACTTGGGAAAGTTAAAACCTAGAGTGAACACAAAGAGATGGAAAATATATTAAGATGTTGGCATTTCATTTTTTCAAACCTTGATTTTAACTAGACAAACAAATAAATAGTTTTCATCTTCATTGATGTCATTGTCAACTATCCTTAGTATTATACTCTCGGTTCTTTTAAAAGTTTCAGAATGGCCATCATCAAAAAGTCTATAAATAATAAATGCTGGAGAGGGTGCGGAGAGAAGAGAACCCTCCTGCACTGTTGGTGGGAATGTAAATTGATACAGCCACTATGGAGAACAGTATGGAGGTTCCTTAAAAAACTAAAAATAGAACTAACATATGATCAAGCAATCCCACTCCTGGGTATGGATCCAGAAAAAACATGGTTCAAAAGGATACATGCACCCCAATGTTCATTGCGGCACTGTTTACAATAGCCAAGACATGGAAGCAACCTAAATGTTCATAGACAGATGAATGGATAAAGAAGATGTGGTATATACACAATGGAATATTACTCAGCCATAAAAAAGAAATAATGCCATTTGCAGCAACATGGATGAACCTAGAGATTATCATACTAAGTGAAGTAAGTCAGACAGAGAAAGACAAATGTCATGATATCCCTTATATGTGGAATCTAAAAAAAATGATACAAATGAACTTATATACAAAGCAGAAATAGACCCACAGACATAAAAAACAAACATGGTTATCAAAGGGGAAGGGGGTGGATAAATTAGGAGTTTGGGATTATCATATACACACTACTGTATATAAAATAGATAACCAACAGGGACCTACTGTATAGCACATGGAATTATACTCAATATTTTGTAATAACCTGTAATAGAAAAGAATCAGAAAAAGAACATACATACATATATATATGTATATATATATATATATATACAAAACTGAACTGCTGTGCTGCACACCTGAAACTAACACAACATTGTAAACCAATATACTTCAATAAAAAAAAAAGTTTCCGGGAATTCCCCAGCAGTCCGGTGGTCAGGACTCAACGCTTTCACTGCTGAGGGCCTGGGTTTGATCCCTGGTTGGGGAAATATGATCCTGCAAGCCATGCGGTGTGGCCAAAAAATTTAAAAAAATGTTTTTTTAATGAAAAAAAAAATTAAAAAAATATTTCAGAGTGCTTTAATTGATTGCATCTCCTTTGAAGAACAACATCTTTTAGTGCAAACAGCCTGGGCTTTGGAGATAAGCCAGTTGGGTTTAAATGTGAAAAGGCCTGCAGCAGGATTTAAATGAGGCAAAGTTGGAAAAACACCTAGCACAGTGCCTGGTACACAGTAGGTACTTTAAACGGTGATTCCTCCTCTTGGGATCCGGGAAGCCTGGGATCTTTGTTTCTTTTTGTCCCCACTTACGGATGGGGAAAGTGAAGTTGAGAGGGACATGTAGATGCCAGTATCAGATTCAGGACTGGGGACCGTACTTTGGACTCCTGATTGAGGCTCCGTTTCA